GTATCAAAAAATAAAATCACCTTTATACCCAAATAAGTTAAGTATCTGACATTATAGTTTACAAAATCTGTCTAATTTCAGGCATACTGCTTGCAATTGTATACTTTTATTGTAAGAATAATAACTAGTTTGCACTTTTAAAAAATGCTTTCCACTTGGATAATTGTTATTTTTACTGAAGAGGTGTTAGGTAGTTGAGCGGATGGTTAAAAACTGCATCTTAAATTAAGCCAGATGGCCACCTTTGGTACTGAAGGGAGCTCCAAATCAGTATTGCTGATTTTGTTTTCTTTTGTTTTTTTCATACAGTGAAGTACCTTACTGGTTGTAAACTATTATCTCATTTTAGTGAGGGTGCCCTTTCTTAGATCTGAATTAACTGCATGTTATTCAGTTATAAATTGTACCGAAGCTGCTTTCATAAGGGTTTAAAGTTTCCTTATGATGGGAAGTGCAGGGCTGCTCTCGGGGTGTGCAGTACACCACACCACTGTGGTTTGAGCCGAGATGGGCTGTGCTGCTCGTCTGCCTCTCTCCAGATTGTTTTGGTTGAAATTTTCCAAATGTTTTTCTTCTGAGACTGAAGCTGCAGGAAAAAATACCGTTTTGCCCCAAGTGAGTTATTTAGAAGTTGTGTTTTGCATGGTCTATAGCTGTCATTTTTTCAAGGAAAACAAAGCCTGAGTTTGGCCGTGCTGAGGCGGTTTCAGGACACGAGAGCCCAGACTGCGTGGAACTCGGCAGGACTTTTCTGTGCATTCGCAGTTCAGGGCTGCTTTGGGAAGAGATGGGGCCTGGGCATAATAATGAGGAGAAGGGCTGGCAGGAGAGAGGGAAGCTGTTATGAGAAATAGTGTCGTTAAAAAACAGAAATGTGAAGAGAGGGGAAGGAGGAGGAAAAAAAAAAAAAAAAAGGTAAAGGATCTTTTTTTGATTCTGCACTCTCATTAGCTCCTTTTCTGCTGACAAGAAAGAGGAATTTGCCTTCACTAACCACTAAGAGGAAATTGCCTGCACAGTTAAGAGAGGCTGGATCTGGGTTAGAACTTGATTGTGGGTAAAAAATAGAAAATTAGAGACTTTTTCATGTTTGCCTTCTCTCACTAGAGCCGAGGCTGAGTCAAATGGGAGTTCGTGCCCAGTGGCCCCAAGACAAGACGGCCACTTGGGCGTTGGGAAGCTGGTCCCAAGCAGGGGCTAAGGACCAGTGGGCAGAGCTGGAGAAGGGGCAAGGTGAGAGGATACATCTAAAAGCAAGCAGGATCAAGAGAGGACAGTGATTTAACTGGGCAAGGAACAGATATTAAGGGAGATGCTTCAAACTGGGCTGCTGTTTTGGGGAATTGGAGTGGAGACACTTGATATCCTCTAAGCCAGACCTGTGTGTAATGATGTTAGGAGTGAGAGGTGGGTGAGGATCGGTGGCTCGGCCTGGGACAGAACGTGTTGAGCTTTGCAGGAAGCAGGCAGAGGGGATCGTGGTCCCCATAATGCCGTTTGGGGTTGAAGGCATGTATGTTGGCGTGTATATTGTGACTAGAGATACAAATTCATTTCCAAGTGAAGCATCCAAAAACCAGGAAGCACCAGGCTGCCCCTGTGGGCCCCTTTCTGCCTGTGGGACGTGCTCGGGTGGCTAAGGCCACAAATGAGCTGCAAGATAAAAACTGTCTCCTGTGAAAACTGCCCTACTGAGTGAGTTTCCCTCCCTGCCTCAGTTGCATTTTGCGCTGAAAAAGTAATAACCACCTAACTAAGTACTGGTTGTGTGAAGGTGCCTCTGGCCGCTCGTGCGTGAGGCCGCTGCGGTCGTGTGGGCGCCGCGGGGCCTGCACCCACCAGGCTGCCCGCCAGTCGCTTCTCTGAGGTGGCCACCATGTTTTGTGCCCGGCGGTGGTCGCCTGCAGAAGTGTAGCAGATGCGCCTGCAAATAGTATGTACGTTATGAGGACCGTCGGCTTGACTGTAAAATGATGTTTTTCCACTAAATAGCTGTGGGAGACGGGACGGCTGAGGACACTGGTGATGGAATAGAGATCGTTGAATGTGTAGGAGTGATAAAGCGTTCACACTTGGTGGCTCTGTAGTGGCATAAAATTAGTAGTCTTAGTCTTGTTTCGAAATCAGAGGTGTTAGTATCTCAGTATCTCCATTTAGGCAATTTCAGAGAGGCCAAGGAGATATAATAGATGGAGATCCTCAGTGACTCTCTTGCCTTTGGTCCTTGTAAGTCATGGCTGGAACTATTGATGGAGGGTGTGGAGCAGCTTTGGCTTCCCCAGACTTCAGTTTCCAGGACAAATACCTGCTGCTGCTGTGTGAGGAAGTTCTTTTGCTAAAATGCTAAAGGCTTTGCATTAAAAGTATTTGCGGATCTAATATATGGTACGTGGATATTGGAGGTCTCCCTTACATGGAGATAAAGTGTAAGCTTCAGTGCTGGTGGTGTTAATGATTTCATTTTAAGAGGATTTTGGTTTTTCATTTTAGGATATTTTCTCTTCTTGACTTCATTTTTGTTGTTTATTTGGTTATCTCCTATGCCCAAGTTAAGCGCACTTAATGTTATTAACCCTGTATTGCAGCATGGAGCAGGCTCCTGTCAAGAAAGACCATGCCCATGAACACACATCACCCTGACTCGTTCCACTTCCTAATTCTGTCATGCTGCTTCAGGATTTTATTAAATGCCTGAAACATGGCGAAATGATTGGATATTGTCACTGCGTGGCCATAATTTACTACTGAAATTCAGTTATGAGGGACACCTGCACTGAGGCTGTAAACCAGGACATGCTGCCTTGCTGTGTGTACGCGCTCCTGCTTAGGGCAGCTCAATAAATAGATAGTGAAGCACCGTTAACTCGGTTGTTTGATCCTTTGCCAATGGCCATGTTTCAGTAGAGCAGGAGTGTTTCTTCTTAAATCTGTTTTGAAAAGCTTGTTTTTAGCAAGGGCATGTTCTACGCAGCTGGTGAATATCAGATGTAGACAGAACGGGTGCCACCACCGTTTCAAAATTCATGTAAGGTAGAAAACAAGATGTTCTTAGGTTGTGTTGATCGCTTGTTTGATTTACTTGCACATAATAGGGGAGTGCTGTGAACATGGTGATTTGCGAGGCGCAGTTTCTTTCAGTTAGCAGAGGGTACTAAAATATTTTGTCAGCTTTTGATATAAAAGAAAAACGGTAATTGCATAAATTACTGAATAAAGCATGTCTTCTGCATACGTCTGCCTTTGAATTAAGATACTGCTCTCCTGCAATATATAAAGGGAAGATGATTTTGTAACCCTTTTGTAATTCTTCAGATGCTTATGTTGTGAATTGACAGAAGTGCTCTCCTGTTATTATCTTGAAAGATTATTTTTTTAATTTTCTGGGTGCTGTTTCTTTTTTCATTTCTGGGTAAAGCTGCTTCATTTCTGTAGCTTAGGTTATACTAAGTAGATGGTAAAGAATAGCCCGGTTTAAGAAGATAAATGTCAGAAATGCTTTCTAAAGTAGACATTTAGAATTTTTTTTTGGGTTTATGCAAAAGAAGGTCAATAGTTGCATGGATTTCAGTAAGCCTGAGAAGAAATGGCATTCCTGTGGTGCTAGTGATTATTAAAACATTGAGAATTCATTTCAAGATACTAAGCTCAGTATTTAATATCTCTTCCAGTGTGAAAGAAGAGCTTGGTAAGGACTGCCAATACTTAGAGATTTTTAGGAGGTAACTCCTAAATCAGTTGTGCTTTTTGGGAAAAAAACAAAGTAAATTCCTGCATGTCTCAGTGTTGGTTCTCTCCTGTCGGCAGGGCCCTCCGGACTTCCAGCA